TTGGTTGCGAAGGCCGACGACGCTGCGAGTCGGGCGACTAAATCTATACATATCCATTGCTCCCTGACCATGCCCATCATGAACCCAGGAGCTGTGTATGCGCCCTCCTGGCCAAGCCAGGAGGGCGTGGCGTATACACCGCTGCGGGGTTGAGGATGGGCCTGGCCAGGGAGCAGTGGATATGTATAGATTTCGTCGCCCTAGCGAGGTCGGCCGGATCGTCCTCCCGATGCCGCGGCGCCCCCGCCCGACCAACCGACCAAGCGAGGGCAGCGGAACCTCGGCCCTCGGTCGGCGGCTCGCGCGCCGGTCCGCCGAGGCAGACGTGGGCGGCGAGGAGCAAGCGGAGTCGGAGAGCGCGGTGGAGGCCAGCGACATCGACGATTTCGAGGAGTCGCCGATTTGGGGGGGGTCTCTGCCGAGACGTCTCAGGCCGACCCCCATCGGCAGTCTTCAGCGCCAGCAGTCAGGTTTCGGCCAACGGTTTTAGCTAGGGCAGGGGTTTCCCAAGGATCTCCCAGAGGGCCAGAGGGTTGGGGGGCCCTTGACGGCGGCCTCTGGGGGGTCGTTTAGTCGTGCCGTCTTCAGGCTTTCGCATTCTCTGGTTTCTCTCGCCGCATCTTGGCATCAGCTTGCTCGCGCGACCTACGTCGCCGAATCGCCGCCCGTCCCCGATTGCCCGACCCCGCCCCGAGGACATGCGCTAGGCGAGAGGCAGTAGGCAGCGCCTGAGGGCCTGGTGCCTGCCTGGGCTCGCAGCTCGCCATCGTTGGCGACGTCTCTTTCGGTGCGGCCGTCGGCCGTCGTCGTCGCATTTAGCGGCCTCGTCGCCGTCGGCGTCGCCGTCGCCGTCATCGGTTTCAGGCCGAGCACAGTGCTGTTTAGTCAGGTTAGGGTCAAGTTGGGGCTTCTGTTTCGTTTCAGTTTTTCCAAAGCCATCCTGCGTTGGGTCCTCGTTTTGAAGAGCCAGCGCCTGCCGCCCGCCGCCCGCCGCCCTGCCCTTCGTCGGCTTCCCGCTGCGCACTTCCTCGGAGCTACCGCGCCTGGAATCCGAATGCGACGGCCCGCCCTTGAAAACGAACAGTACCCCTTCCCTGTTGAGGTAGAACATGCATAGATAGGACATGCGCGATTGACATTCGGATCTAGCCCCGACCCCGTCGATCCGAAGCTCGGCGGCCCGGGCGGCCCGGGGGTAGCGGCCCAGTAGCGGTGGGATGAAGGGGGGGAAAAGGGGTGAATGGATGGCGGGGGGGGAGAGGGATGAAGAACATGAGCGCGTGCTCAAGATGGCCTGGGGAGGGGGGGGGCTGGGGCCGCGCGTTGTTTTCCTTTCCGATCTCTCGGCAGGTTTGCATTTTTTTGCGTGCTCGGCTGGGCTAGCCTTGACTTGATGACGGCTCGTGCCACTGTCATCATGAGGTCCACGGAGAGAGTCTCCAGGAAGGACGTTCTTACCATACTATCTTACAATACTATCATAAGATATCTGACAGTCGTGAGACCCATGGAGAGCCTCCAGGACCAGGAAGTGTCCGCCGGTCGGGAGTCGGGTGGCCGACCGTCTGGGCCGTTCATAAGGGGCGGCCCCAACTGGCTCGCCGTCGCGGCGCGCCGCATCGCGCGTGGGGCCAGGCTGCTTTCGCCAAGGGCAGGTCGCGATCTTGCTCTCGGCCCAGCACATGCTTCAGATACTGAGGGAGAGAAGGCCATGGGAGAAACAGGCCGCGCCCGCGCGGCTCGCCGCTACCGCATTGCCCATGGCTCCGCCCCCGTTCTCTCGCCAACACAGGCCCTCGGGAATGTTGCCCGGTGGCGCTGGTCCAGATGATGCAGTGTCAGACTGAAGCGGGGATCCGCGGCGAGGATTCTGCATGCCGCAGGGCCCTCTTGGAGCCGTCTTGGGGCCCTCTTGGCTTAAGTGACCTCAGCGGGCGTAGGGGGGCCCAGGGGGGGCCCGGGGCGGCTCCAAGCGGGCCCCGCGAGAAGCCCTAGAAGTTCCCAAGAGGAGGGGGAGGGGGGGGAGGGGGGGGGGAGGGGGGGAGGGGGGGAGGCGCGGTCGCGGCGCGGGCGCGTTGCGGGCGGTCGTTCTCGGGGCCTTACCGGGCCCCTCTTGGGGCCTTCTTCTTAAGACCGTCCTGGGGCCCTCGTGGGGAGGTCGCCGCCCGCTCGACGCCCGCGTCGCCCGCCTCCCCCCCCATCGCTCTTATCCGCGCTTGCGGGGTATTGCGTTCTCCCCAGTCGGAGCTAGTCCCAACAGATCGGCCCTTCAGGTTGCCAGGAGGAGGTTGCCAGGGGGAAGTTGCCAGGAGGGGGATGGGGGGAAGGGCGACGGGGGCCATGCAGCAGAGAGATGATGGGGTCGGGGCAGCGAGAGAGGGCGATGATGAGGACGACGGAGGCTTGCAACGTTGCCCGAGCTCTGGGGCGCAGCGGCCAGCGGCGGGCGAGCACCGCAGAGCAGTTCGAGGGGCGGGTGAGGGAATTGCCGCGGCGGGGGGGCCCTCCCAGGTCGCAGGCGCCCGGGAGCCGCTTCTGGCCCTGGGCCCGGGGCCCTGGGCGCCGCGGGGGGGGGGGAGCGACGCGGTGGAGGAGGGGGTGCGCTGAGGAGGAGCGGAGGAGGAGGTGGGTGCATGGGCGTGCGAATTTGGCTTAGTTCGCCACCCGCGCTGCGGCCATCATGCCGAAGAAGGGCAGGAAGAAGTCGGGCGCGAAGCAGACGCAGGCGCAGAGCGAGCAGATCACCGCCACCGAGGGGCAGTTGGTCGCTGCGGACAGGAAGAGCGACCTTCCTGAGGTCAAGCTTGAGGAGCGACTGGCGAAGGACGCCGGTAGGAATGAGGAGTCCAAGGGGGAGTCCAATGGGGAGACGCTCGTGGAGCACAGTCAGACTCAGTGCCAGAAGGACCCCCTCCTCCCCCCCATCTTGCCCCCTCGGCCCCTCGTCCTCTCCGCTCCTCTTCCTCGTTCTGCTGCTCCGCCTTCTCGTCGCGCTCCTATTCCAATGTGTCATCCTCCTCCTCTTCCTCGTCCTCCTCGCCTCCGTCGCCTCCATCCGCTACTCCTCCCCGCCCCCTAGCTCCTTCCCTCGCCCTCTTCCTGCTGTCCTGCTGTTGGCCCCCCCCCCTGCAGCTCGCCGCAAGGGGAAGCCGTGTGCCTTCCTGTGCGGCGCGGTGCAGGGGATTAGCATGGACCCAGTCGACCCGGACAATAGGCCTTGCGTCCGCTGGGCCTACGATCCAGGGGATTTCACCGCGTCGTGCGCCGACGGCTCGGGCTGCTGGGCATGCGACACCGCTTGGAGAAACGACATCTCGCACACTCGGGCAGATCGCGACCGCAGCAAATACATCAGCGATTTGGGCAGGGACACCAGCTTGCTCGACGCGCACAAGGAGAAGAAGAACATCGTCATCGACAGGGCCAAGAAGAGGCTCCTCACCAAGCGCAGCACTGGCTCCAGCGGAAAGCGCTCAGGCATTTTGGCCTCGCTCGTGTTGTCAGTTGTCGTAATTCCCCCTTGCGTTCTTCCTTCCTTTATCCCTTCCTGTATTCTTTTAATAGATTCGCTTATCCCTTCCTTTATTTCTTCGTCCTTTATTCCTTGGGTTGCGCTTTTCTTAACCGACGCACCTTTCTATTATCCATCTTCCTCCCCGGCCGGCTCCTCTCGCCCCGTCGCCTCTGCCCGACTCGCCCCCGCAGGCGGGGTCAAGAAGGTCGCAGTGCAGAGCAGGCGGTGCGCGGATTCCTGCTTGAGGAGGCCCGACAACGATTTTTGGCCCATCAAGCGGTACAGGGCCAAGTTTGGGGACCCCAGGAAAAACAAGAAGTTGGGGCACGTCATCGTCGTCATAGAGGGGGTGAAAGGAGTAGAGGTGCCTTCAGACAGCGGGGACATTCCGTGGAAGATCGAGAACCGCCAGGGCATGAGACGCGAGCTCGTGAAGGACGAGGACGTCGGGAGCACCGACGGCGACGAGGAGCTCGCGGAGCAGAAGTTCGAGGACTTGACCACGGCGGACGCCGAGGCGCAGCGCGTGGCATGCCAGGGCGCACTGGCGAGCATCTTGGCTGAGTGCGAGCTGACCGCCGAGGAGGCCGCGAAGGAGAAGGAACGCGAGAAGAAGGCCGCCCAGCAGAAGAAGCGCCGTGCCGGGAAGAAGCAGCAGGGCGAGAGGAAGATAGTGAGGCTTTCTGGGGCTGCAGGGAGCTTCGGCCGGCTGGCCGACACTGATGACGACGCCTCTTTGGATGGCGACATTGAGGAGCTTTGGGGTCCAATCGTATTCATTCCCGCCCCACTGTGCCCCCCCTCCTGGAGATGCGTGGAGCGCTCCATGTCTGGGCTCTGGGCCTCTGGGCTCTGCGCAGTGCAGTTGGCGCGAGCTACGCGGTGGGCCCATTGGCGCCCTCCGCTCGCGCTCGACCCTGGGGCCCCAGCGACGCGCCCCTGGGCTCCGCGCCCTTCTCCAGGGCTCCAGGGGCCCCATGGCCTCAGGGCCATGCGCATCAGAAACCTTGGAGAAGCCTTCAGTGCTGCTGGCTCTTTGCGGATCGTAGATCGCAGAAGCCCCCGTTGAGGCGCGGGGCGGGGGTAGCGGGGGAAGCAGTAGGGGAGGAAGGAACACGGGGAGGGGCATGGGGGGGAGGCGGGAGGCGGGCTAGGCAGGAGTATGGGGGGGGAGAAGACTCTGAGAAGACGTTGGATTCTGGGCGAGGCAGCGGAATTTCGTTCAGGCGTTTTGCCATTGCGCCATCGGTGGCGCGTGCATGTATCCTTGGTTGGGTAGGTTGTTTAGCCCGCTCATGTTCCAGGAGCTTTCCCGGGCCCCCCCCCATTATCGCCCCTCGGTCGCCCGCTTGCAGTCCCTTTCGATTCGCCCCAGGCGCCAGGCAAGAGGATCAACATTGCGGCGAGGCCCAGAGGCGGCGGCGGAGGCGGCGGAGGCCAGCCCAGGGGAGGCGGTCGCGGCCAGAGGCGCGGCGGTCAGCTCCAGGAAGGAGCCGAGGAAGGCACCGGAGGCGGCGACGGCGACGACCCGCCGGAGGGCGACGACGAGAGCGCCGAGGAGGGTCAGGAAGGTGAGGGCGGCCAGCGTCGCGGTCGCGGCCGCCCGAAGAAGGACGTGCTCGTGCTGGAGAAGGACATGTGGCGAGAGTTCATGGGCTGCGATGCGACGTCCCGCATGTTCAACAAGCACAGCGACGTGACTCGCCGTCTCGCCCAGCGTTGGATCGCCATTTGCCAGTCCAAGGGCAAGGCGGCAAAGGCTGAGGCCGATCAGACTAAGTACTCGTTGGCGACCAAGCGCCTCATGATCATTGAGCAGGGCATCAAGTTGCACCGCAAGCGCATCGAGAGCGGTTCCTCCGATAAGTCGTACGCCGAGTGGGACTCGGGCTTCCGCAGCCTTCAGGAGTTCGCCAGGGCCGACCCAGCGCAGCCTTTCACGTGCGAGCTGTTGTGGGACATGCGTCTGACTCTCAAGGCATCGCTGGGCAGGGCCACTTCGAACCGTCCTCGCCCGTTCGCCTTCGCACCTCCCCATCTCCTCTCCCGCTGCCTCCCCCCCCCTGCCCCCCGCTCCCCCCCCCCTCCCCCCCTCTCGCGGCCTCGTCTTCTCGTCTTTCTCGTTGCAGCGCTCGCCCGACCCAGGCGTCCATGTGGTCCTCGACGCCCCCCGCTGTCTGGGCCACTGAGTTGTCGGCGAGGTCGCTGCAGGAGTCTTTCGGGTCACTCTGCGACGTTAAGGACAAGCAGTCCACTTACATCAAGCAGTTGATCGCCGCCGCGCTCCGCTCCAGAGCCCCGCTCGAGGAGGTTAAGCACGTCATTTCCAAGGTGATCGAGTGCCTCGACGCGTTGCCGACGGGGCCCCCCGCCCCCCAGTTGGACCGCGACCTCTCGCAGGAATTGCGCTCCATGTCATTGGCGTTCACGTTGCCGGCGAAGTCCTTCGATCAGAAGGTCCGCGCGAGCCTCCAGCAGGCGAAGATGGACATGGCGGACACTTCGAGGCTCTTGAACTTGCTCATGCAGTACCCGGCGCAGGGGAAGCCCCTCGTCGACGCGTTCGACACCCGGCTCCAGGAGAGAGCGAAGAGGGAGGAGGCAGGGGTGGAGGCAGGAGGGGGAGGAGAGGCAGGAAGGACGATGGAGGGGAGGGGCCAGGTGGGAGGAGGAGCCCCATGGACGGTTGATGTTCTTCCTCCATCTTCTTCCACCCCCTTTCTTCCCCAGCCCCTTCTTCCGCTGCCTGGCCTTTCTTTTCATCGCTTCCCCTATCTCCGTCCCCCCCCTTCCTCTGCGCCCGCCCGCGCCGCCAGGAGTTCGACGACTTGGTGGGGTGGCTCGAGAGCGCGAAGCGGTCGACCGCCCAGCTCGACGCCGCGCCGGACGTTCCGATGGCCCAGCAGCTCAAGATGCTGGCTGATAGCAACGCGATCGCGTCCGAGGCGGGCTCCATGGCGGCTGGCCGAGTTTCCTTCCCGGCCGCTCTCGATCTCTTCGCGCAGCGCAGGGCGACGGCCGCCAAGGTGGCCGCGCAGGCCGCGGTTAAAGAGTTTCTCAAGCAGCGCGAACCCTTGATGCTCGGTCAATTCCCTGCTCAGGATCCTTCGTCTGAGGAGGAGACCCTTGGCGGTATCTTGAAGGACTTTTCCTTATTCCATTTGGTCACCCCTGGGGCGCAAAGATAATCGTGCTTCGCGCATCACGGTCCGAGGCAGAGCAGCCGCGCCCTGGCGGGCGGGGGCCCCCGGGGCTCGGGGCGAGAGGGCGCGGAGTTAACCGCGATGTCGGCTTCGATCGGTTTCTGGATGCATTTTTCTGTGCGTTGGGCTTCAGTGTTTCGTTTTCATTTCGGGCGTTGATTGGGCCTTGGGGTTTTCGCGCTGCCGGGCCCTCGGAGGAATTGCTGGGCGCGTTGGAGGTCCAGGCCTTCGAGTCGAGCATGAAAGACTTCGCTGGAGCTGTAAGGGATATGAGTTCGTGGATTGAGCTAGGGACGTCTGGGGTTTTGGCGGCGGTCCTCGATGGCAAGGAGACGCCTCCGCTTCATGATATGCGGAGGATTTCGGCTTTGATCGAGGCATTTCCGGCCCTCGAGCCCATCGTGACCCTCAATGGCGATTCGGCCGTCGAGGTCGCGCAGCTCGAGGAGCTTAGGAAGTGGGCGGTGGATCGCTTAGGCCCGCTCGTGAACAAGAGCCTGGTCACCGCCTTCACCGAGCCGTTCGAGACTTTGATGGGCTGCGTTCTGGTCGCGACGGACGGGCTGGCCGCCGTCGGGAAGTATTTCGACTTTGATTTATCGGAGGAGGCCTTCAAGATGTCCGTCGGCACCCTCGTTGGCAAGAAGGAGCAAGTCGCGATCAACGCCAAGAAGCTGGACGACGTCGTCGTGGATGGGAAGACAACCTTCCGCATGCACTTCCTCGCGCGCTATGCCCGCGTGGCCATGGCCCACGCGTGCTAATTCGCGGCCGAGGGCGAGGGCGGCTCCCCCGTGATCTCCAAGGCCCTTCCGCTGACCGAAGGGGTGGCCGCGCTCGCCATCGCAGCGAAGAAGGAGATCGATTCGTTCGAGGCTTGGTTCAAGGGCGTCGGGGCGGAGCGGGCCAAGTCTCATTCTGAAGGCTGGCCGGGCGTCGAAGCTGCGCTTGCGTATCGTCCGTCTTCGATGCCGCTGCGCGACCATGTCTCTGTTGCTCTTGCCGGTGCCTCTGCTGCCGTCTCCCGGCCCCCCCTCATCCCGCGGCCGCGGCCTCGCCCTGAGGCCCGGGCCCGGGGATCGGGGCGTCGGGGATCGGGGGGGCCCAGGGCTCGGGGGCCCCAGGGCGCAGCAGGCGGCAGCCTGCCGCCTGCTGCGCCCTGCCGCTGGCAGGGCCGCGCCCGTCGAGTTTTCGAGGATTTACGGAGTGGGGGACGAGGAGGAAGGTGCGGAGGAGGTCCTGGTCTTTCCCCCTTGTCTTCCTCTTCCTTCCCTTTCCCCCCCGACTCCTGCCCGCTGGCCTCCACTCTCCCCGCTCTTGTATTGCTCCCCTGCTTCTGACCCGTCACTTCTCAGCTGTTCTCCATCGTCTTTCGTCGCCCTGGCCCTTGCCTCCGCCTCCGTCGTAGTCGCCCTCTTCGGCCCCTCCTCGTCGTTGTCTTCCTTCCCATCATATCCTGCATTATGCTCTCCTACATCCACTTGTGTTTTCTCGCGCCCGCGCCGCTCTCCTCGCCATTCCTGTCAGGCTGGATCTGCGACATGAGCGCGCTCTCCGCGGCGTGGGTCGAGCTGGTCGGTGAGTTCTGGGCGAAGGCGGTGGCCTTCTGGGACAATCACCTCAACGCCAAGGCGACGGAGCTCATGGGGGTGGCCCCTCCCAAGTCGCTCGTGGACTCCACCAAGATCTGCAGCGACGAGGCCCTCCGCAAGAGCTTGGAGGATACACAGCGGCTTCGCCGCCACGCGCCCGCCGCCTTATCATCGGAGGTCGGCGGCGGCTCGGGCCGGAGGGTCGGAGGTCGGTCGGGGTTCGGAGGGTCGGAGGGTCGGAGGGTCGGATGGTCGAGGCATGTAGTGGCAGAGGTCCGGAGGTTTCCAGGGGTAGACGGTGGGGGGCGGCGGACTGGCGGGTTAAAGACGGATGTCGGAGGTCGGAGGGTGGGAGGTCGTCGCAGGATTGGAGGCGACGGCGAGGGTTGTCGCAGGATTGGAGACGGATGTCGGAGGTCGGAGGGTCAGCGGCTCCTCCTCCTCATCCGCCTCGTCGCCGTCGTCGCAGTCCTTCTCCGCTGCTTCCCCGCTTCCCCCTCCCCCCCCATCTTCGCCCTCCCCCTCCTTCTTCCCCTCCGCCTCCTCCTCCTCCTCCTCCTCCTCGCCGCTCCGCGGCCCCCCCCCATCGGGCCCCCTGTCCCCGCTTGCCCGCCGCCGGAAGCCCGTCGCCGCATTGGCGGGGCCGATGGAAATGACCGCGAAGCTCCACTCTAGCAAGCTCGTCGCGACGGCGGCGTCCCTCGCGGCGATCTTCACCAGCCTCGCCGCGGCGTTCCCGAAGACGAAGAAGTCCGCAGGCCCTTTTGATTTCCTGGCCCTGCCTGCCCTTGCTTCCGCTGCTGGCCTCTGCTGCCTGCTCGCCCACTGCTGGCTCCTCGGCTGCTCGATTGGCCCTGTCGGCCACGGGCCGATCGCGCGAATCTTGAGCTCGGTTTGGCCCCGGCGCCCGGCGGTCGTGTTATTGGCGACTCCTTAGTGCGTCGGCGAGGCGCGCCACTCGGTCGCTCGGCCGCGGGCTGGCCGTTTGCGAGCGGCCGCGGGGCGGGGGGCGCATTTGGGTTCGGGCGACGGCGCGGGTCGCGGACCCCCCTGGAGTCTGGAGGCAAATCGGCTCTCGACGCCGCCAAGCGGCACGGGCGCATGTGCATCGTCGTGCACTGGGCGCACAGCCAGATCATCGGGCACAAGCCCGAGAAGAAGAGCGACCTCAAGAACCTCGCCATGAAGGTGCGGGAGCAGCTCGCCAAGAAGGGCATCGGGGACGGCAAGGCCGGGGCCCATGCCGCTTGCCGCGTCCGCCCCGCCGCCGCCGCCAGGAGAGGAGGGCGAGGGCTTAGAGGAGGGGCGAGGAGTAGGAGTAGGAGAGTGGGAGCGTCACGCATCACGAGGCGGGACCCGCCGGGGCCGAGAGGGCGAAGAGAGGGGGGGGGGGGGCGGAGGTGGGGGGCGCGGGGGAAAAGGGGGAGGAGGAGGAGGAGGAGGAGGAGGAGGAGGAGGAGGAGGAGTACGAGGAGAGGAGCGGGGGAGGGGCTGACCTGCGGCAGGAGCACCCGTCTCTGTGCTCGCGCGTGCTTCTCCTTCTCCTGCGGTTCGCTCCCTCGCGCCCCCCCCCCCCCCCCCCCTCGTCCTGGGCCTTGGGCTTCTTCTGCTGACTCGCCCCCCTGGTCCACCTGGCCCTCTCCTCGAGTTTTTTGTTGTTGTTTTTTTGTTGTTTCTCTCTCTCTCTCTCTTTCTCTCTCTCTCTCTCTCTCTCTCTCTCTCTCTCTCTCTCTCTCTCTCTCTCTCTCTCTCTCTCTCTCTCTCTCTCTCTCTCTCTCTCTCTCTCTCTCTCTCTCTCTCTCTCTCTCTCTCTCTCTCTCTCTATCTCTCTCTCTTGCCCCCCCCCGTAGTTCGGCCCCCCCCCCCCCTCCTCGTCCGATTCCTCGTGGCGCGCCCTTCCTCGTCATCCCCCGTCGCCCCCTGGCCCCCGCGCGTCGCGTCCCTCAGCTCTCTTCCTCGTCTGTCAATTATTTGAATCCCAGCTATCTCCTCTCTGCTCCTCCGCGCACTCGCAGCCATCCCCCTCGCTGCCTTTTCTGTTCCTTCTCGTCCCCCCTCCTAAGCCCTGCGCTTCTTTCGCACCCCTTTCCACGCGCCCTTCCTTTTCTCCCGCTCCTCCTCGTTCAGGTGCCCCCCGCGTTCTCCCTTGCTCGCGCCCATCCGGCACCCCGCGCGCACTTCCCCTTCGCCATGTGCGCGCCGCGCTTCCTCCGCCCCCCTCAGGGCTGCAGCAAGATGCCCGTGGTGCTGGACAAAATGCAGAGGCTGGCGTCTTTCCGCGGCACCCCCCTCCTCCGGCCTTCATCCCACACCGATATCCTCATCCAATTCTTCCCCCCTTCTCCAAATCCGGATCATCCCTCCCTCTGGCCCTCCCTCTTCCTCGTGCCTATCTCCTCACCCGCCCTCTTGACGTACCTCCCCTGCATTCGCATTCGACCATCTCGACTTCATTCCCGGCCCCTCCCCATTCCGCCACCTCCCCCCTGCTCGGCGTCGTTGTTGTCGCTGCCGTCGTCGTTGTTGGTCTCGTCGTCTACCTCCCCGCCCCCCAGGGAGGGAACGGGGGGGGGGTGGCCAGCTCGCTCCTCCATTTGGGGGCGGTGGATCCTGCAGCGGATGGCGAGGGAGGGCGAGGACGGGGGGGCCGCCTGAGCGGCGGCGCCTGGCCCCTGGCCCCCAGCCCGCGGGTTCCGCGACGCCGCTTGGGTCGGGCGGCGGCGCAGCGCATCTGCGATTCTGCGCCGGCGCCGGGCATAACGCTTTCACAGAGGGGGATGGGAGGGGTTCGGATTCTGTTGCATCGTTCGCATTCGCGCGCCTGGGCGACGTCAGAGCGAAGCGCGAACTTATTCGCGCTTCGCGGTCTGAGCCTACGACGGTTTCCAGAGCGAAGACGCGCCTCGCATCCTTGGGGCTGGGCCAGTGAGGGATTGCATCGCGGGCTTCGCGGTCTGGGCGACGCCGGCGCGAGGCGCGAAGTTGCTCGCGCTTCGCGCGGGGCCCGTAGAGTTTGGATGAGTTTTTCGCAGGGGGCCAGTGAGTTCGGTTAAGGTTTTCGGAGGGGGGGCCAGGGGTTAGGATAAGGTTTTCGAGCGGAGACCACGGAATTCGGACTAGGTTTTCGCGCGGAACCCTAATAGCGTTGCGACGTGTCGTGCATTGCGCTGCGTTGCTTTGAGTTGCCTCGCATTGCCTTGCATCATTTCACATCGCGAAACACCTAATCAGTTTTTTCTCGGGCCCCGCGCGAAATTATCGCAACTCTACGAAAACCGCTGCCCTAACTCATTGACCCCCCCCCAAACAAAAAACACACATCCGAACTGCATTCGCTCCGCGCGAAAACCTAGTCCGAATTCCGAGGGCCCCGCGCGAAAGCCTTATCCGAATTCCCGGCCCCCCCTACTCCTACGGAACCGTATCCTAATTCATCGGTCCCAACACGATAACGCGCATCCGAATTCCATGGGTTCCGCGCGAAAATATATTCCGAATTCTTTGGGCATTTTCCCGAATGCCCTATCCTAGCGCCCGGCCCCCCTACGAAAACCATATCCAAATTCGCTGGCCCCCCCTGCGAAAACCGGATCCGAACTCCAGGGCTCCGCGCGAGAACCGAATCCCAATTCCCTGGGCTCCACCCGAAAACCTTATCCTAACTCCAGTGTAACTCCAGGCCCCCCAACGAAAACCTTATATTAACCAACTGGGTTCCTGCAAAATCCACGTCCGAACACCATGGGCTCCGCGCGAAAACCTAATCCGACTCCCTTGGGCTCAGCCCGAAAACCTCATCCTAACTCCTGCCCCCCACCCCCACCCCCACGCACACACGCGCACACGCGCGCACACGCACACGCACACACACACACACACGCACCCATGAAAACCTTATCCTAACTGCCCCCCCTCTCGACGAAAACCACATTTGAAATGCATGGGCCCCGCGCGAAGACCTAGCTGGAACGCCCGGGTCTCCGCCAGAAAGCTTGCGAATTCCATGTGCCCCGCGCGGAACCGAATCCGAATTCCAAGGGCTCCGCCCGAAAACCTTATCCTACTCCCAGCCCCCCCTACGAAGTCCCTATCCAATCTCGCGGGCCCCCTGCGAAAACCATATCTGAACTCCATGGGCCCCGCGCCAAAACCTAATCCCAATTCCTTGGGCTCCGCCCGGAAACCTTATCCTGATTCCCAGCCCCCCTACGAAATCCTTATAGTATCTCACTGCCCCCCCCCTGCGAAAACCATATCCGAACTCCATAGGCTCCGCGCGAAAACCTAAACCGAATTCCGATTCCTTGGGCCCCGCGCCAACTCCGGGCCCCCCAACGAAAACCTTATCCCAACCAGCTGGCCGCCCCGCGAAAACCATGTCCGAACTCCGTGATCTCCGCGCGAAGACCTATTCGAAATTCCTTCCCCCCCCCCCCGGCCCCCCCACCCCCCCCGCACACACGCGCGCACACGCGCGCAAATATTAACCCACTGGCCCACTGCCCCCCCCTGCGAAAATCATATCCGAACTCCATGGGCTCCGCGCGAAAACCGAATCCCATGTCCTACTTCCTTGGGCTCCGCGCGAAAGCCTCATCCTAATTCCCGGCCCCCCCCCCCTGCTTATCCTATCTCATTGCCCTCCTGCGAAAACCATTTCCGAACTCCATGGGCTCCGCGCGAAAACCTGATCCTCATTCTTTGGGCTCCGCGCGAAAGCCATATCCTTACTCCCGCCCCCCCCCTGCGATAACCTTATCATAACCCACTTGCCGCCCTGCGAAAACCACATCCGAACCCCATGGGCTCCGCGCGAAGCCCTATTCTGCATTCCTTGGGACCCGCCCGAAAAGCTTATCTCAAGTCCCAGCCCCCTCCCCCCCCCCCACGAAAACCTCATCCTAACCCACTGACCCCCCCCCCCGTGAAAGCCGCGCCCGGACTCCATGGGCTCCGCGCGAAATCCAAATCGGTTTCCCTTGCGATCCGCCCGAAAGTTTATTTTAACTCTCGCCCCCCCCCCCCGACGAAGATCTACCCTTGTCCTAACTCACTGGACCCCGTGCGAAAACCATATCCGAACTCCATGGGCGCCGCTCGAAAACCCAGTCCGAATTTCTTGGGGCCTGCGAGAAGATCTCATCGGAAGTCTGGTGCCAAAACTTTATCCTAACCAACTGGGCGCCCTACGAAAACCATGTCAAGACTCCTGGGGCTCCGCGCGAAACCTATTCCGAATTTGATGGTCTCCGCTCGAAAGCCTTCTCCTAATTTTACGAAAATCTTATCAGAAATCATTGGGCTCCGCACGAAAAGCATCTCCAACTTCGAGGGCCGGCCATCCTCCCTCGTCGTCCTGTCCCCACATCCATCTCAGTCCTCATCCTCTGCATGCCTTGCGGGCCTCGGACTCTCCCATCGCCCCGCGCCCTTGTCTTGCCCCCCGGGGGAAGCGCGAAAGGCTCGAAGATATTCGCGCCCCGCGCTTCGCGAGCCCCTCGTCTTGTCCCAGGGCCCAGGGGGGGGCGCGAAAGCGCATAGTTATTCGCGCTTCGCGCAGCGCGAAGCGCGAAGCTAGGAACCCTTGATTCGGCATCCTTGCGTTCAACAGCGTGCTGGGGTGGATGTTTAAGGGGCTGAACAGGGGATTGCATGGTCGTCGGTGACGGGGTCAGGGGGCCGCTGCGTGCTTTTGAAGCTTTTTGCAGCGGCCGCGTGGACAGCCGTCGCTGTTCGCCCTGTCGCGGGGCTACGCGCCCGCGAAAACGCAGAGTGGCCCCTTGGGGCGGGCCGTGATTGGAAATGAAGTGCGCTTCTCCTCGCCATTCCCTCGTCATTGCTGTATTCGCCCAGGCCACCAGTTGTTCATCTCTCCCTCCCACTACAGCTTGAAAGGCCAAATGTGCCCCAGGTCCCCCCTCTGAAAACCATCGTCTTCAGGGGCCATTATTTGGTATTTTCCGGGGGGGGTCGCCGATGACCAACAAGGGGGGCGGAGCAGTCTGGGACATAGAACAGAGCAGAACGCATGGGCGCAGAGATCAGCGCGCCAGACCACGTTCGCGCTTCTCCTTCGCTCGGCCGCGCGCGCAGTTCCGCCGGAAAGAGCGCGACCTTGAACCTCGACGCGCGCGAAGTATGACGCTCCGGCAACGCGCACGCGCTGCTCGGATCGCCGACCAGTGCGGGTTGCTAATTTTCTTCCAGGCCGCAGCTGTGACCCGCGCAAG